GATGAGTAATGCTAATATCTTAAACAACGTACAATTTGTTACTTTGCTACAGAAAGTAAAGGTTGCTTTACAAGAGAGTGATTTAGCTAAAATAAATTACATAATAGCTGAGCTGGAGAGCTTTTCTTTTGAATTATGTAAGTCAACAAAGCTATAGACCTCGCTATTTATGATTAAAGGAGAAACATAAACCTTTAATAAATCTTTCTTCTTTGTTATATTTTAAGGATCTTATTATACTAATGAATATTTTTAAAAAGACGTTTACTCTCATTCTAAATAAGCTAGATGAGTTAAAGCAAAGGAATGTCGTAAATACGAGCGTTACAAGCTTTATTGTAGAGCCTCCAAATAATAGGTTGCATGGCGATATTTACACAAATGTTGCTATGGTGATTGCAAAATGTGAGGGAAAGAACCCCATCACAATTGCAGAAATTTTGGCTAAAGAGTTTGAGCTTTTTGATGAGGTTTCAAGAGTGGAAGTAGCGGCTCCTGGCTTTATTAATATGCATTTAAAAATGGGTATATGGTATGATATTTTGCGACAAATAAACGAACAAAAAGCCGAATTTGGCAACTTGAGTATTGGCAACAATCAACCCGTGAATATAGAATTTGTATCTGCAAATCCAACTGGACCTTTGCATATTGGCCACGCAAGAGGTGCTGTTTTTGGTGATGTTTTAGTAAATTTACTGAAAAAAGTTGGTTATAAGGTAATCAAGGAATATTACATTAACGATGCTGGAGCACAAGTAGATACGCTAGTGCAGTCAGTGTATTTGCGATATAGAGAGGCTTTGGGAGAGAAAATAACCATAGAAAAAGGCCTATATCCTGGTGAATATTTGAAGCCAATAGGGGAGGGGTTGGTAAAAGAATATGGAAAAGAGCTTTTGAATGATCAAAACAATCAGGTAATTAGGGACTACGCTCTAAAATCCATCTTGCAGATGATAAAAGAAGATTTAAGTCTACTTAAAGTAGAGCACGAAGTTTTTACTTCAGAGCACGAACTACAAAAGAGTGGTAAAATTGAAGAGAGTATAAAGATATTATCCGATAAGGGCTTAGTATATGAAGGATATTTAGAGAAACCAAAAGGTAAAGAGATCGAAAACTGGACTGCAAGGAAACAAATGTTATTTCGTTCTACGCAATTTGGTGACGATGTTGATCGTGCATTAAAAAAGGAAGATGAAAGGTGGACTTATTTTGCATCAGATATTGCCTATCATTATGATAAAATATCGAGAGGCTTTAACTATATGGTAGTAGGACTTGGCACCGATCATAGTGGATATATTAAAAGATTGAAGGCAATAGTCTCCGCATTAAGTGACGGAAAAGCAAATATAGAGATAAAATTGCATAACATAGTAAATTTTTTAGAGAATGGCAAATCTATAAAGATGTCCAAAAGATCAGGAAATTTTTTAACAGCAAGAGATGTAGTAGAAGAAGTTGGCAGTGACATTACACGTTTTATCATGTTAACACGCAAGAATGATATGATACTTGATTTTGATTTTGCTAAAGTCAAAGAGAAGTCAACAGATAATCCTATTTTTTATGTACAGTATGCCCATGCTCGTGCTCATTCATTGATGCGTAATGCTCCGAAAACACTAGCAAATGCAAATCCATCGCTTTTAGTAAGTGATGGGGAGCTATTCCTAATCAAAATCTTAGCAAAATGGCCGAGTATAATAGAAATTTCAGCAAGGCTCTGTGAGCCTCATAGAATAACCTTCTATTTGCTTGAAGTTGCGGAGGCATTTCATGTTTTATGGGGATATGGTAAAAGTGCTTTAAATATGCGCTTTATACTAGAAGATAACTTAAGTCTTACTGCCGCAAGAATGTTTCTTGTGCAAGCTGTAGCGCATATAATTAGTTCAGGGCTTTCTATCTTAAATATCCAACCCCTGAAAGAAATGGTGTAATTTTTTACTACGTGTCTTCTTTTGTTATAAATAGATTTATAAGAGAGTTAATACAATTTAAACTAGAAAGTAATTTGACTTTTTTACAAAAATATTATAAATTTAACTATATATTAATTTGAGGGGGGTTATGGCTCCTATAGACAATATGGAAGACTTCTTACATCTGCTGCTGAAAAAGGTCAGATCGATGTAGTAAGTAATTTGGTAGCAGGGTGGTGTGGATATTCATACTAAAGAT